GACACAGTTCGAGGCAAAATACGCCCTAGCCCAATTAGACCTTTGGCCAATCTTTCACTCTCCACGTCAATGTTTTCAACAACGTGAACTTTCCGAGAATGGAGAATGGATATAGGGACGTGCGAACCAAAATCGTGTACATCAACTCAGTTATTTAACTACTACGTATGGGATATCTAATGAATGTCAAATAAAAAAAACAAAGTAAAGAACAATTCAGTGTACGCTCAACGTTCAATGGTGGGTGCAGTACAACAATAAATTAATTATAAATACCTAAACAAAGGCAATAGCAAGACGGGAAAAGATTAAAATCGAAGAAAGAAAACAAAGCATACAACAACAAGAGTAGGAAATATGGATAAGTAAGCAAGCAAGTAAGTAAGTAAAAGTAGCGTATAAAGGAAAATTAAAAAGAGATGAATTAAAAATAAAATTTAATTTAATGAATTTCTTATAAATCTATTGTATAAGAATTTCGTGTCGTTGACCTTAGCTTTGCACAAGAAGTAAACTTTTATTAAAATGTACAACAAAATGAACTCGTTTCCATTGTCGTTGCTTTTCATGGAAAACGGATAGAATAGTAAACAAAACTAGTTCATAAATCCATTTCTCGACTAAGCAATAATAGCAACGACAACAACAAGACGAGCAACGCAGAACAATTCGTGTTAATTAGAAACTAAGGCAACAAGAAGAGAACACATCTTTGTATAAACATTTTTCTTCTTTTCAACTTAATAAAGATGACAAAAAAAAAAAAAAAAAAAAAAAAAAAATAAATAAAATCTTCAAAAAGCCTGATAAGTACAATTATCTAGAGGCGTGTATGCCGAGTAGTAGTAGCTCATGTTTATTCAGTAATTTCAGGTAAACCGAAGAATAGGAATGTCTCGCCAGCCGATTAAACCGAATTCTATGCACGTTGCACAACATTGTTGGGTTAAAGCATTTTAACTAAACTTAAACGAGCTAAACGAGCCTGCCTTGTAAATAAACGTCTGCCGGCCTTCACAAGCATAAATTCACATGCTCCTGACATAAAGTGCATACATGTGAATATGAGTAGTAAGCGAAAAGGATAGACTCCAACTTGAGTTGTAAGCCTCTTGTATACGCGCATAAAAAATACATAATACATAAGAACTGACCAAGTTTAAGCACATGTGTGGATTTCATTATAAATGCAACGGATGCGCGCCAAGTGCTTAATGTTTCGATACTCGACTAATTGTGGAAAATTGATCAAAGTTCACTTGGACACTTTAGATCTATTTAAAATAATATAAAGATATATTAAAGCATAGGAGTTTTGGTTACCTCTTCTTACAAAATTTCGAAATTTACAGTTAAACCTTGAAAGAAGGAAAAAAACAACAGTAAGAAAATTACTTTCGGGTGTAATGCGATCTAATGCGACCCATCGCCCTTTAAAACAAAAAGCCGGAAAGAAACTAGACAGTTACACCCTGCAACAGGGGTCGGCAAACTATGATCCGCGAATCGCCGAGCGACGCATTGGATAATTTCAAATGACTAGCTTTAGTTCCGCAAGCAAAGTATAATACAGAGAAATAAATTATAGAACATAAACATGAAACAAACATTTTGCGAATAACAAAAAAATGAAAATAGACCAGCATAAGAACAGCATTTTAGTCCGATCACCATGGATCTTATGCACATAGGTATTTATGTATGTATGCGATTGACTATCAACCAAGCGTGACTAAATTGACGACTTAAGTCGAACATCCGAGGAACCATTGATATCGAAGCGAACGTTAACAAATAAAGTTCATTCAACTCTATGTACGCAATTATTTTCTCAATAAAATATATCGTATATATATTATATTTACTGCAAGACCGTTTCAATACGAAAATATCTGTGACCCAAACATGTCTTTCATGCTCACATTTTGGTTGATTTGAAGCCGCGGCCGACAAAGATTGCCGACCTCTGCTCTACAATGCCATTGCGTAGGCACAACTGATTTTTCGCATTTTTATACAAAATGCGTAGAGAACTGTTATCGTGCACCCATTTTAGTTTATGAATAATCAGCAAAAAGGCCAAAGGCAATATTAAATTGATCTAAATAATGGGGTTGCAGTTAAATTAAAATTTGATACGCACTCAGGAAAATCTATATTGAGTATTTATTAAGCGATTTATCGCAATTAGTTTTAATATCATTTTAGATATCATTTATTACTATCATTCTTTAATAGAAGCCAAATAAGGGCTTCACACGGTTGATGATAAAACGGAGATTATCTCTATTTGAAGAAGTACACAGTTCAAGTACAACAAGCTGCCAACCTCCAATCTTTTACTTATTTAATTTGAAGTCTATTGGAGCCATTTTTGTGACCGGGGGAATATTTACCACATAGACTACGCAGCAAAGAAGAGGGGAAAGGAACAGATATGCCTAAATATAATTCGAATTTAATACTGATCAAAAATATATACATGCATAATGGGCCCTTTGAAGAGTCCTTCTGGGCGATAGAAACATTTTCACAAGAAGAAGAAATTTCGATGCTGTACATCAAGCAAAGAATCTACTTTTTTTTCTTTTTTTTTTGTTTGGGAAAACCAAAATGGGATAAGCCCACGTTACACAGTGAACGTGTCCTCCGACCGATTTCAACCATTTTAAATAGTAAGGTGTGTGTGCAATATCATCTAATGTTTTCTACAAATTTGAAAGCGACATCTTCGGTTCTATCATCGAAAATCGTTTACTACAGACATCGCACAGACGGATATGCTTGGATCGATTTAGAATTTAGTGCTTTATATAGTATTTGAAGCTTCTTTTTGCATCTTCACGTAACATTTTGAATTAGTCCCAGGATTATTCTTCTTATTCTTCGCATTCCCTTTGCAGATAAAAAAATTCAATTTTGCGAAAGAAGTCTCTAGTTAAAAATAGCATAAAATTAACGTTCGCGTTTTCTCGAAACTTTATGATAGACCCTATCAAACAAAATTTTGATTTCTAATAAACATTTAATAGAGCGAGGTTTATACTTTATATGGAGCGAATACGCTTTTGCTTTGCTTTGGAAGCAAGTTGAACAAGGGATGGATAATCAGTTCGACGAAGGAAGAGGTGGATATATAATCTGTGCACTTTATAAAGTAAAGAGATTCTTGATTAAGCTAACAGCCTGAATGAAATTCTGTAGACTTTCGGGTAGAAGATGCAAAGGTTGATTCGAAAGATTCCAAGCGGATAATTTCGAAATGATTGGGCGATTGATAAGCCACTCCTTAGGCGACCGCTGTTCATCGGCAACAGTACCGTGAAGACTACATCGGAACCAATTCGAAAGCCAAGATTCTAAAAACAAACAAAATTTTCCGGCAGGCCTAGCATGTACATGTATACGCTATCCTAAGAACTTATGATGTATTATATCTGAAATTTTATGCACACAACAAACGTTTGCATTGATATAAAACGAGCAGCGAATGCCACGACTGATTATAAGGATAGTTAAGACGGTAAAGCAACTTATGCAGACATAGGCAACCGCCGACCCACCACCCGCATCGGGGTCTTGAAGCCGTCGAGTTCGGGCCGTTAGATGTAAAATTTCAAACAATTTAATTTTCTCGCACATAGCAATGCTGTAAATTAACTGTATTTGCCTTCGCGACCGGGTCTGCTTTGCAGCTATCATAGGCCATAAAACGAACGATTAAAAAAGATGGAAAATTGACGCTTGGGCTTGTGTTCTGGCTCCCGCCAAGATATTGAAAATTAAAATTGGCCCGTTGATGAAAAACGTTCCCCATACCCGTTCTTATGGGATATTTTAAGTGTCTAGCAAGTTAAGTTGCTCTTAATTCACTTATACGAAAGACATTTTTCTTTTTTCAAAAACCATTATTAATTCAAAGCAGATTTTTTAGAAATTTATAGTAGAGAATCAATCGTATCAATGTGTCAGCCCGCAGATTTACAGATGATGTATGTTTTTTTATAAACTTTTTCTCATGTCAGTAGGTATTTGTATGCATACATAGGTATGTTGGATTTTACAAGTGTGGCTCGATTTTACGCATCAACGGGTTCAAAATGGAAACACTATCATCGTATACTACACTGCACAAGTGTACAAATATACATAATTATACATAAATATACACGATGATGTGGTTAAGTACTCATGTTTGTACGTTCTACAAAGCACGAGATAAAACTATAAAAAACAAAGAAATAAAAATTTCATTTTTCTTCTTATTTTGCTCTCATTTTACGGAGTGGCAGAACTTTTTTTTTCTTCTTATTTTGTCTCTTGTCTTTTGCTTTACAAATAGGGGCCAAGTGCAATGTAATAGTTGGCGCATTATAGTCACAAATGAACAGATATTCAGGCAAACGGATCGATATACTCAAAGCTCAACGTTTAACAACTAAAAGCAAATTAAAAATACACGCGAGGACCTATAAACATAGTTCAATTTTAGTTCATTATTGAACTAATACTTATATATCGAAGACAAACATGTACGTAAAAACGTTCTGACTGAAATGACTAAATGGTAGGAAATGTACAAAAACCCAAAAAAAAAAAAAAAAACGAAGAAGAAACAACGTGAAAAACATGTCTTTTCCGTTGTTTTTTTGGCTGCTGATGACATATTTTGTTTGATATTTAATCCCATCTGTTTGGTTGGTTTTCTTTGTTGTGGATATAGTACAGAAAAATGTTAATACTTTCTTTTAAACTCTTATAATGCGAGAGGTAGTGAGTGATGGTTGTGTTAGTAGTAGTAGTAGTAGTAGTAGTAATAGCAAGTAAAAGACCGGTTATTAGACCGGTTTGGATTTTTTACGAAAAATGCAAAAAAAAATAAATAAATAAAAAAAAAATAAGAGATTTATATCAGTAAAGGACAAGAACGTACTCAAATGCTTAGAAATAAATGCGAAAAGCAATAATGATAAGCGAACTGGTAAGATAGGAAAACTTACCATTTGCAGAAAGCATGTTGACAGCAAAAAGTGTCGTCGCGTACAAGATCCCATGTCATAATTATTCCATGTAAAAATGTTTCAACAACAAATTTTCGGCAAATAACTCTTTGTTTCCAATTAATAACAACAATTTTAAGATTATTTTTTATTTTATGTATTTCTTATCAATTTTTCATTTATTCATTTATCGATCAAAAGCTCTCCACCTATTCCTTAAAATATTTTTTAAAACATTATTTTCTTTTTATTTCTTACATTAATAAAATGTATAATTAGCTCTAATTTTTTTTTTTTTTTATTACATTTTGACTAGAGTTTTTTTATTGACAACCATTTAATTGAAACGACACTTGAAAAGCTTTATTATATTTTATTTATTTTTTTCTGTTATGACTAAAACGATTTCCGAAATCATACACACACACACACACACACACAACACGCACACACGTACATACATACGTATAAACAGACAGGGACACACACTTTGCGGGTGCTTATCCTACAATTTTTTATAGAAGATGTTTAGGATCCCGAGTGAGGATCATGGCAAGAGATGGGCAAGCAGCTTATTACATACATAAAAACCAAGAACAAAGACTTTTAAAATAACAAAGCAAGACAAAAGGTAAAACAGGAGAATCTTGTACATACATTCGCGCACACAAAACTCTCATCCGAAAAACTAAGCAAAAAGAAAAATATGAGCTACAATAGCGATAATATTATTATTATGGATCGCATTTACTTATTTTACATTAATTAAAATAGAAAAGTTTTCACTGCCAGTTTTCCGTTTTATTTTGCTTTTGTTTTTTTTTCTATGCTCAGATATCACTTTTAATCATTTACAGGTTTATTGACCTACACCAACATTTACGGCATATATGTGCACGTTTTAAAAACATCTATATAGGTATTTTCTTATATGAATTTCTTTCTCTTTGACACTTGTTTTATTTTGATTGCAATAAAATGAAATGACTCACATGCACACATTACTTTTTGTTTTTTGTCTTTTTGCAAGGTATTATTTTGATCATCAATTAAAAGGAAAATATTTTTTGACTTTAAATATTTATGTCATTTAAAGACATGTTTCGCTGTTAACTCACTGCTGGTCAATTTGTAAAACTCATGTTCAATATGTTGCGTTTCGTTTTATCTAATTTATTCGTTATAAAATTTTGCTTTTTTCGTGAGCAAATGACAAACGACATACCATTGCACGCCTTTTTTACTATTTTATTTCTTTTGATTTGTTTTCAATTTAATCTTATTGTTAATTATTTAAATAAAATAAATTTTTCCTTGTTAGCATTTTTGAGTTATAAGAATATAAAAACTTATCCAACGACGACACTGGACGACAACACTCGCTTGCAATATTTTCTTGCGAGAAAGAGAAAAAGACGACTAAAATCGAAAATCTAGAAAATGTTTAGATTTATATTCATGTAGGCATTTTTAAAAACGGCTCTCTCTCTCTCTCTCTCTCTCTTTCTTTCTCTTTATTTCTCTCTCCTTTTTTCATGTACGAGCAAAATTTCGAAAAGAAGGAAAAGCGCGACTAATCGTTTTTTTTGTCTCGCTGACTTATTAAAAACATCTGATCTTTAGCATACCTGTAACCTAGCATACCTGTAACCTGCCATACCTGTCATACCAACCATTCTACATTTTATTATTTCAAATCCGGAAAGGAGGAATTTTCAAGTTTTATATCAGAAATGTTTAAATGATTGTTCTTGGACTAAAAATAAATTTGTTATGCATTAACTTACGCCGCTGACTTTAGTTTCACAAGTGTCTTTGGCTTCTTTTAATGATTTCAATTTTCTTCCATTTTTGCGGCTATTTTGGCTTGGGTTTTCTCTATTATTATTAATGCCCGTTCACAATGTCCGCGCCATAATTGGTGTTAAGGTGATCATACGTAACGATTTCTTGCGACTTTTTTAGCGTTTGTCCTGATTGCCCCGTAACATGACTAAAACAATAATATGAGGTGCGGGTAGAAAAAAAAACTGTGAAACATTATAGATATGCCGTCTCAAATTTACAAACTGAAAATTTGGTCACCTGATTTAGATATAACAGAAAAAGAGAATACAAAAAACACCAAAAAAATCATGAACTAACCTAAAACTATGAGCAAATTATTACGTTGCGTCTGCAGAAACCGTCAAATCGACTGACCTGAGTCTGCATAGGCAAGAAAGTTAATACTTATATATCTCGCATTAATAATTTCTTCTTTAGTAATTTATTATGGAAAGGAATATATAATAACAGGTTGGAAAATTAATCGTTCGGTTGTTTTCGTATACTTGTAGTTTCAATGAAATCATTAATCTTAACTTAACCAGAATTTTATTATGGAAGGATTAGGACTAGTGTCTTATTGTTTAGGTATGTATTTTCAAGATGGGAAAACTTTTATTGCTTTCTTATAAAGAGTTGATTGGATTTTACGGAAAGTAGATGACGAAGATCACATTATATTTTTAATTTGGATATAATAAAAAATGATTTTATTATAAAATTAATTTAAAGCTTAATTATATTAGCAGCAATAGCTAAAAGAGCGCATATTGAGTTTTTTCATGCTATAGGAGGATATTTATTAATTTTATTTAATTAAGTTTTATTTAATATATGAATAGGTAATTTTTTATTATTAATTTAATGCATGAAAATGTATGATTTGCGTATCTCAACTAAACTATTTTGTATCTAAAGAAAAAAAAATGTATTATTATTGTTAAAAAATATTATTATTATATAATATTGTTATTATAATATTTTTTATCAAAAAATAATTTGTTTACAATATTGTTTTCCAATAAACAAAAAAAAATAAATGTAATAAAAAATGTGTGAAGAGAAAAAGTTTCACTCTCAGGGGAGTCAAAACTACCTTCCATAAGAATCTGCAGCAAAGTAAATTTTATTCTCAGAAAGTGAATTTTACTCTCACAAATAGGCGGCTCACATCGAAAATTTGGAATATGTTTACATTTATATTTATATTCATGTAGCATTTTTTAAAAATGATTCTCTCTCTCTCTCTCCCCTTTCAAACACAAGCAAAAAGAAATTTTCTCTGGGTAAACAAGATGTTAAAAAAACAATGTCAGCAATTAACGATTCGGCAACATAACTAACCTACGGGCAGGAAATTTACAGAGTGGATGTATAAAGTGCATTATCTAAATTGTATTATTCCAATTTGGCTTCATTTAACTTGCTTGGTTTCATTTCAGCAAACACAACAACCTTCGTACAGGGATGTAAGTTCACATTTTTATTTTCTCCTATTTCATTGTTGCACTTGTTAAAAATTTTAAATTTAACAGGTGTTACTGTCAAAGAGAACGCAAACGATATAAACTGAGAAAATTATATGCCTATCACCGTTATCCTAAAAGAGACCAAAAAAAAAGGAACTGAATTTTCATACTCTATAAGATTGAATGGGCGTGGCTGATTTCTTTTATTTTCAGAATAAAGATGGCCATATATATATGGTGTGTGTGGTGTACATTACGGGTAACAAACAAAAAAAAAAACAAAGCTGTTCACAGTTTTTGCTGAGCAGGAATATTAGCGTCGTAGGCGCGTCTTTTAATCGATTTTAGTCATTTCCTAATTGTTTTAACGATAGCTTTACTTTTGCGGAGTGGAGAATGTGTACCACGACATAGTTGGGCAGACGGACGGATGAACAGGCTTTCAAGCGGGCATGCTTAGGTGCATTTCAAATTCAAAACTGACCAAAAATTACACACTTTAAGAGGTTTTGGAAGATTTCTTCCGGGTTGTATAAGGTATTGAATAAAAATAATGTTTTGATACGGTATTACAGTGTCGCTCATATGTATTTTCATATCAAAGCAAATCTTACAAATATGTTACTTTTTCGCATTTAACAGATGAGAGAGATTTTTTATTCACCATTTTTCTTATATATTAAAATTACTTGTGTTTGTGTTGTAAAGTACGTAATGTTCGACTCTGAATTTGGTCATATGTGAGAGTAATTCAAAAATAATTTGGTCGTATTTGAGAGTAAGCGTCTGTATTTGTTTATAATTGAGAATAATTCAAAGAGACAGTCTTTATTTGTTAACAGCTCTTGCATTGAAAAAACTGAATTAACAAACATATACGCTTATTCTCAGATGTAGGCAATTTTTATACAAATACATTTTCAATTATTGGGAATTGTAAACGTATTTGGACGCTTACTCTCAGATGTAGGCAATTTTTATAAAAATTATTGAGAATAAGAAACGCTTACTCTCAGATACAAATACATTTTCAATGATATTTTTGTCAATTTGCTTTTACGAACTAATTATTATTAGACGGACAGACACGCTTAAATTAAATTAGAAAGTGATTCTGAATTAATCGGTATAAAGGACAACGTCCGCAGTTTCACTAACGCGAGCTATTTTTCTCTATTTGTCTTCGATAATTAAAATTAAAATTACAAGTACCGAGCAGTTTTATCTGCTCTGAGAGGAGATTTCTTTAAGAGTATTATCTTTGCTAAACAATCGCGAGGCGAACTTGCTGGAAACAATAGGCGATAGGCAGAAAATTTAGCGACTGTTTTGTTTAATTTGATAATAAAAACAAATTATGGCGGTCTACTTGTAGGCTAACTTTTAAAATTAAATAAGTTTAGTTCGCGTATTTTCCAAAACACTAACATTTTGCTTTGATTATCGTTTCATTCACTCATTCACTCTTTCGTAAACAAATATGCACCATCCGAAGTACACATTTAAGACGATAAAGCACGGTGGTAAAAAATTTATGGTGGGCCGCAGTTTCTGGACACGCCGTTGGTCCCAGATACTCGATGCACTTATGGATCAATACGTTTATAAAATTCTATATACAACAAAATATTAAATTTTTCGTCAATAGGATTTTTTAAATTTGTACTAAACTATTCGCGACGTGCTTTCCGTCTTAATTGCCCTACACGAAAGATAAATCTCCAAATGCATCAAAACAGTCAAAGAAAAGTAATCTTTCCTGAACTTTAGATCACACTTAACTCGAAAAAAAACCTTCGACTAATAATAAAATAAAACTGAAATAAATATTCGCCTAATAAAGCCTAAATTCATGTCCATCATTGAATCTACATATGCACGCATATATTTTTTTTATGTTTCGCTTCTTAAAAAATAAAATGTAAAAACAAGATATTAGATAAAGATGTACATATGTAATCTAATATTTTCTTGATGCTTACATCTCTAGTACAATTTCAATTTTTTTAACTTTTTGCCCAGTTAAGAAAACATTTGAACTAACATTTTAACTTTTATACTTCTTTAACTTTGGCTATTTCTGATGTTAACAATAATTACTTCTCTGGCTTGTTTTTTACGTTTTTTTTTTTTTTCAGCAGTCAAGCGTTGGTCTAATATTTGGCAACTATTAAATGAAATTGGTAAAATAATAATCCATTAGATACCTTACACCGCTTTGCCTAGTACTTATTCACTCGTTTTGATGACAACACCCATAATTATTTTGTTACCCATCATTTCCTTGCAAAGCCTTATTGGAGGAAGCTTGCAAACTTTATTTACCTCCTACAAATTTTATTATATTTCAGTTACCATCACAGAAAAGTAGGAAGCAAACGTTTTCCTCTGTAGAAGGACTTGGTTTCCATTTGTTGGAGTCTAAAAAATAGACTTATGCGGTCCAAATTTGTTATCGTTAATTTTCTTGCTAAATTGCTGAAGAACAAATTTTCATTACAAAACATTAACATTAACGATTAGGGGTTTCGTCGTATACGGAGTTTACATTTCTTGAGAATCTTTATAAGCGGTGAAATCCAGAAAATAGACCTACGTGGTTCAAATTCGATAATTTATCACCAAGAAACATTGAAAATCACGTAATCTTTTTAGCATATAAGTATTCAATCTTCGCAGGAACGAGACGGGGATTCAGAAAGTTACTTCAGCCAATTTAGAAGGTTGAGATACTACTACTCTTTTGTCGAGAATTTTGGAAAACTGCAATTTTTTTCCAATATAACAGCTTTTCAAAATAAGCCATTATATGGGGAGCAGTTGAAAAATTGGATCGATCGAAATCATTTTCAAAAACGTTCGTCCTCGGATCGAGCAAATTGTACCAAATTTACATTACAAAAATTGCGACGTGTAGATTGAACAAACAAACAAGCAAATCAACGGACAGACGTGCAGATAAGCTTAGATCGATTTAGAAAAAATAAAAAAAAAAAGAAACGCTCGAGAAGTTGTTCGCACAGGTATAATGTAATCTGTACTGCAAGTGGCGTAGTCTGTAAATACAACTTACAAAGATCCTACCCAGATGCCATACCCTTGCAATGACTTTATCCTTACATTCAAACAAAACTCATAAAGAAATTTCAAAACTATATATTATTTGTGAAGCAACAAATCTGAAATTCGTCAAATTGAATCAAATTGACGCAAGTTCGACAATTCGATTAGGAAGGAATACGAGAGTAAGTCATTTTTGTAAAACTTGTTTTGTGAAATACGCAAAATTTAACGTTCGGAAGAACGTTGTAATAGTGCGGTCGCTTCAAGGTTTCTATTTGATGCGTGCAAAATGCATGCGATTTCACCGGAAGTCTATAAATTTCTGCGGCAAACGCATGCCGGCAATTGGTGACAACTTGGACGCCACTAACTGCGGCCGGAATGGGTTGAAGATAAGTCGCAAGATTGAATGGCAACGGTGAGTTAATGTTAAGAAAATTAATCTAAAGCACTCATAGTGAGCGAAATGAAAAGACGGATTGGATTGAAAGTTGAAAGTTATTACTTGACGAAAAAGTCTTTCGTAGAGAATTTTTTCTGCTCTGACGTTCTTTAGAAAAGAAAAATTAGATTCGGAGTTTTTCTTTTTGTACAAAATATTGTTCCATTGTTCATTTTATTAAGTTTTATTAAATAACATTTTGTAAATTACAGTCTATTACATATTTTCAATGAAAAAATTCCTATTTGTTTAAATATAAAGGGGTCAGAAGCTAATTACACTAAACGGGTTTACACGATCTTTTGTAAAAAAAAAAAAAACTCTGAAACTATTCGGTGAATTCTTAACGAAAAACTTGAACGAACAACGATATGTGTTAAAAGAAGGTGAAGCAAAATTATGAAAAGAGATTTGGTGGTGGCAGCAACGAGAGCTGAACAAGTCGAGCAAAATTTGAAGGAAAAAAAAAAAAAAAAGAAAAAATCTGCACAACGCCAAATGAAACGAAGTTGAATTGATTGGAAGAAGCAGAAAGAATCTGCTGTAGCACTAGGGCAAGTCCGCAAACCATTTTTAACAAAGCTCTTTAACATCAGTTACCCAGAACTTGCACATCTTCTTCCTCTTCTTGTTCTTTTTCTCGTTGGCGCACTGCGACGGCGGTTTCAACGAGCAGGTACAGACATTTGAATTTATCTTTATCGTCACGGGATCCTAAAAAAATCGCAAAGATTAGATGATGGGTGCGTGCTCACGACACTTTTGAAGAAAACATGTTTATTTACCTTTGATTAAGTGACTGCCAGGTGGTGTAATTTGCACAGCAGGAGTCAAACTGTTGTTATTGCTACTACTATTATTGCTAATACTGCTGCTGGCATTTGTATTGCCCAGAAAGCTTTTATTGCTTTGCGTTACCGCACTCGCGTTGGAAGGATGAGTGGTTACGACAGTCGCTTCAGCACCAACGGTTGCGGAGGTTTCCGTTACTATTTCACCGGTGGAGGAGAGAACAACGTTTGTTGATTGCGGCGCAACTGCTGAAATATAAGTTATATAGAAAAAGTGTGCATAAAAACGATAAGACTTTTAAAAGGTGTTAAGCGTTTTCTATACTATTCGTTTGCGTTGTTATGGCAGCATCACTTGAAGCATGCGGCAGATGCGATAGTTGCGTATGAGGCGCCGATGTCCAATACGTATTATTCGTGACCGTTGGACTTGTAGTCGTCACTTCTTCGGTGCTGAAAACAGTCCCGCAAAAACAAAATGTTGAAAAGACACATGGAGTGAAATTTTGCGAAACGTTTAAGAGTTGGTTGTGGCATTTTTGCGAGTTTGTGAAGAGGAGGAGGGAAATTTTTTTTTGTTTTTATACATATTAATGTTTTTGTAAATGTGTTTGTTTATCGATTCGTGGAAAGTTTGGCAAAAAGGAACAACGAAAAGCGAAAAAGAAAAAAAAGAAACTTTTTTAAAGAAGTAACAGCGCTCCTAGCATAAATAATTAAAAAAATGATTTTCAACTAATATAGCTTCGGTTAAAGGCGTACTTACTTTATAACCGATTGCCAAGCATCAGAGCTTTCGAATTTTCCCTCCTCCTCGCTTTGGGTGTCGCAGGTGTCGTATTCGTTAACACTGTCATCTTCCGACCTGAAGGATAGTTGAATTCAAGAAATGCAATAATCAGTAACGGTTAACAAAAAGAGGCAGACGAACGTCATAGTTTTTTTTTTTAAAACAAATATATTTTTTTAATTAAGTTAGTTTTGGAAACAACTTTTGTTCTACCTCATGGCATTGAAATGATTCTTAGAAGAGCTTGTTTTATTTTGAATATGAAAGATTTGATTCAGAGTTTGAGAGCAAAAGTAATTGGAATTTGCCGGATACTGGGCATTGATTGCGGCATTAGGAATACTATTTGCCAGCGTGGTGGTAGTGGTTGTGGGCAATTGATCGGGACTGGTATAGGTATTGGAAATTTGGTTGACTGCTACAGCGGCTGCTGCTTGGCGTTGTCTCGCAGCTTGAATTTTGTCTAATATCTTGGCTTGAATCTGTGGATGAAGGTTTTGGAAGCCTTGAGGATTAGCAGCAATGGCCTGCTGCCATCTTGCATAAAAGGTTAGTTTTACAAATACACGAATAGTTAGTATTATACTTATACTACTCAGTAAATACAAGCATCGTCTTCTGTTGTATACCTGTATATAACACTGTCATCGTACTCAATGTCCGGTTCCACCTTTACCATATGACCTCCCGGTGTTTGAACGAAATGACCTAATGCGGTCAAAACATTAGCGACACCGTCGTGCACTTCCTCACCTTCAACTTCTTCGGTAGCGCCAACAATCTATAACCAACGTAACATCACAATTGATTGATTAAAAAACATTCAGTTAAATTACACTCTATACTCACGACTTCAGAGGCCGGACTTCCTGTAATAGGATTAGGTGCTGAACTCGAATTTAAGCTGCCCAGTGAATTCATCGATGAATTTAATTTTTTACCGCGCCTAGAAATGGTAAAGTGTAATGGATCGTTGCCTTCACGTCTTATCATTTCTGGTAATATACGTCTGCGGGCGTTTATAAACCAATTGCACACCTATTGTATTTTTCTTGTTTTAAAGACAAAAATAAAGAAAGTTTTTTATTAAGCATTGCCAACCTGCAGAACTGTTAAATTGGCTTCCTGAGATAGAGTATATTTTTCCGCATCGCTTGGGTAGGCGTTATAACGGTGCTCGTATAACCAACGCTTAAGGATTTTCACAGAATGTTTGGGCAAGTTGCCTCTACGTTTGCGAGGCATCCCGCTCTCGTTAGTCTCCAACACCATATCCTTGTAATTACTGGCATCATGCGCATCAGAAATATCATGTTCTGAGATGTCCTCTTCAACAATAGTATCTTGATGATCATCATCTCCTTCGACAACACCCAAAACGGTAACACCGTCATGATCCATATCTTCGTGACCATCTTCCCCACTTGAATTCGATTGAAAACGACCTCGCGCTGCGAACACCAATAATTTTGATAGAAAAGTGACATTTTACTGAATGAACACAAAGCAAACATTTGCACTTTATATTTTGCTTATGTTTACAAACATTGCAGTGACAATTTCGTGTAGACATAGAAACACACAAGCGCTCAAATTGATATTTACAAATATGTCCCATTCATTCGCTCACTCACTCACTCATTCACTCGCTACTACACTCTACAAACATAAACATATATGTCAAATTTTGTAATTTGACGTATGGCATATGCTACGTCCGTCAAAGCGATAAACATAAATATTACATTACATTAATGCAGCAAGCAACCAGTGCATACTTGGAAGTATGGAAATAACCAAGAATATGAAATTGAAAAAAATTAAACGTAAGAAACATACATACCTTCATGTGTGATAATTTGTGCTTGAATTCGTGCTTCTTGGGCCATGTCTTGAATTTCTTGGCGTATTTGACGGTCGAGGGCGGAATTAACCTCCTCTTGATGGTGCAAGCTATCTGGCGACAACATCTTTGCTTAGGTTTCTAAAAAGTGGGGAGATTCTTAACAAATTTCTTCTATCGTAGGGAAGATGCCACTCTACTTGGACTTTTACACCAATTTCCACCGTCCTTATCAATAGTTTGGAAGACGCGATAGACACGATTCGTATCACATCAAAAGTCTATTGAGCAAGTAATCAAATAGCTTTCTTTTAATGCTGCTTGAGGTTCGTATTGCAGTAAGTTATATTTGTTTCATCCAGTAACAACAAAAAAGGAAGAAATTAATAAATAATTCTTTTAGACTTTTGCAAGTCAACAACAATCTCTTTTGTGATTTCAGTTTTTGATGTGAAACTAACAACTATGACGACGTCTTTCAACTTCAACTGAAAAATTTGAAATATTTCCCTGTTCATACAAAAATTGATTGACTTTCTATGCGTCGCCTACTTCTCCGTTATGGTGCTTTCAATAATATATCGATTTCCCAGTTAAGCTACAGTAGTTTTTTCACAAAGTGTTTTTTTATTTCTTTTTTTCTCTCTGATATTACAACACCCATATGCATATTCTATGTAGACCTTCTGCGTGGTTCCTTTATCATGAAATCATGAAAGCATTATTTGTTTACGATTGGCGATAACATTTTTTTTAGCTAAAGTAATTTGCGCCAATACTTTTGACATGAACTTATGTCAACTTTTTAATTTGATTATTAAACTTCAAAATTTTTATTTTGACTTTATTGGGAAACTTCAAAATTCGTAGAAAAAAATCCAGTTGTATCTCTTGACAGCTGTCACACTAATATATGCAGTGCATGCAAAGAAAATGGCGACCTAACCAGATGCTATCAGAATATTTTTGACAGATGAATAATATTGTTAACTTTTGACATTTATGTTTAATTGTTATCACGAATTTTACGATATATCGTGTGAAATAGTGAAATTGGATTCCAAGCTAATAAATTAATTATTTTGCGTCCCCTTTTAAGTCTTACAAATAAGTTCTTCTTATTTTATTTCATTTCAAATTTAATCTTTATTTTGTGAATAATGCTACAGAAATTTTATGCGTTTGATAGTTGCTCTTCTGCGGTAATAACAACTTATTCAACAGGTTGTATTGAACATTTAAAATTTTTCTAATGTGTAAGAGAGGGATTTTGGACGTAAACCCACTAAATATGTGACAAATGGAACGAAATATTTTGAGCTTTTCAAACAAATACAATTATCATAAAACAATTGATCGTAATAATCACTTTACTATTTTTAATAAACTGTATATACTTAATAAAATATAAACAAATATAAAAATTTAATCAAATATATAATAATTGTTAGCTAACAACTAATTAGATGTGACAATTACGATAAACATTTATCCAGTAAATACTCATAACTTCATTTTAAGCAATTCGTTGATTCTTATTTGATATTGGTAACTCTACACGAAATAAAAATACCAAATACCAATACAGAAGAAATCCAAATATAAACTAGTTTGAGAATTTTTTCATTTTCATTTCCTACAAATTCGGGTAAAGGAAATTTGTTGCATTTGTGAACAATTTATGCGTAATAAATTAGCGTTAAAACAATCTTTACAAGTGGAAATGGTTGTTCCAGCAATTCTTTTGACGCAATAATACGAAAAGTAAAGAAGGAAATTTACGATACTTCTTCGACCTGTTTTTTTTTTTTTTGTTTTTTTTTCTTTTTGTATCAATACACACAAGAATGTCGTTGAGTAAGTCCAGTGCGAACGACGAGAACAAATGCAGCGTCAAAACGGATGACTCGTCGACGACAGCGAAAACATCAAATAATTTAGTTGTACGCATCAATCAGGATTCAGATGAGAACTTGCAGGCCCTGTTCGATAGTGTCCTGAATCCGCATGAATCTAAACGTCCCCTTCAAGTGCCTTTTCGTATGCGGAAATTGCCCAATTCATTTTTTAATCCGCCAGCTGCTAGCCCTAAATCACCAACTGTGTCACATTCGCGAGCCAACAGTGTTGACTCTGCGTACGATTGCGGATCACAGCCAAACATAAATCAGGCTTCAGTGGCGACATCACTTTCGGATTTACAGTCGACTACGGCCGTTGTGCAACAACCAACCACGACCACAATCACTCAACAACAACCACCACCACCACCACCAGAAACCCAACGTTTACAAATTTGTCATTCGCGCGCGCACAGCAGCCCTGCATCCTTGCAGCAATCTTATAATTTGCACGGTGGTAATATTAGCGATGACGCCACTACTAGTTTTATCCAGCAGCAACAACAACAGGGTGATAGTAGTACAGGAGCGGTGGCTGGTACAGGTTTCGCTAATAATATGGTTGGATTTACAGCAGCAGCGGCAGCTGGGCTCAACGCCAATAGTATAATTGGACTCGTGAATCAAGCCAATGCAGGTGCAACTGGTGCTGGAGGCCCATTACAGACATATCATATGAAACAACGTTCGTATGATGTTATTAGCCCTATACAATTGCAAAACGAACTTGGTCCTCTTCCTCCTGGCTGGGAGCAAGCAAAGACCAACGACGGTCAAATTTATTATTTAAAGTAAGTAAATACACACGGACACAAACACAATTACTACGCATACAGAGTAACTCTCTTTATCAATCAGATTGTCTTAACACACTCTCTCTCTCTCTCTAAAGTATTAAACTGTTTATTGCTACACTAATACGTATATATGTATATATGAGTTTGGTAACACAATGTATGCTTAATTATATTCCCCATGCTGCTAATATGAAAAGTATAACCATCAATGTGAATTAAAATGAAGGTAAATTAATTGTTTGTTGTAAAACCTATACGTAGAAACACTATTTAAAAAAATTACAATCAATCTTCTGTTAGGACTCTTATAAGAATATGGTAATGGCAACAATCCCATAAGAATCAGAATTTATTTTATTAAATATTATCTTTCTCCTATTTCCCTTCGTAATTCTCTCATTTTTTCGCCCTCTCTCTCTGTCTCTCTCTCTCTCTTCCTGTCTGTCTTTCACTATCTCTCTTCTCAAATGTACTAAAAGCAATAATAATAAATGTCCTTAACTACTTACATATTATATATTACTTACCGTATTTACAGTCATACCACAAAAACCACACAATGGGAAGATCCAAGAATTCAGTTTAAACAACAACAGGCTTTAAACGCAGCCGGTTAGTGCGTTCTTGTTTTAATTTTTGAATAATTTATTTAACATCCGTGTATTTCTTATAATTTAGCTAATGCAAGATTAAATAACAAAACGGGTGGAAATGCCGCAAGTCTGTTAAATGGTGATTTGGGTCCTTTGCCTGAAGGTATGCATAAACGGATACTTTGTCGATCTTTTAAGATTTTGTTTTTCATGCAAAATTAAGATTTCGTTCTTTTATATAAAATTAAGATTTTGTTTTTTCATACAAAATTAAGATTTCGTTCTTTCCTACAAAATTAAGGTTGGGAACAAGCGTTGACGGAAACTGGCGACGTTTATTTCATAAATCATATTGATCGTACCACATCTTGGAATGATCCACGAATTCGTAGGTGTCATTTAAATTTCAAAATAAACCTTGACTCTCGATGGTTTTCTCAATAATCGATTTTATTTAGCAATTCTTTTTCAAAAAGCCGTGAAGGCAAAAAACGAGATGAGTTGGGTGAACGCTGTTGAAGTGGACAAGGATAATGATATATTTAAACAGAAAACAATACAGGTATCCCAGATGAATATAATATCGCAAAATGTCTAAATTGCAAATAATTTTTTTGCAATTTTTTCTTCGCTTTCTTTGAAGAAGCCTTTAAATAAACATAACGTGAGTTTGCATATGGATCCGTTTCTTTCCGGTGATAACCACGCTCGACAGGAATCGAGTGACAGTGGCTTGAGTTTATCATCGAATTCGTTTGCAGTCAACACTGATTTCATTACCCATATGGATTCAAGCATGGATTGTATAAGTGGTATGTGTACAAATAATGTACATATAATGAAGACATTTATTGTATTATTAATTATTTGCAGAAAATGGCAGCATCATAGATAATTTGGACACTACTTTACAAGTCAGTATATTTATTTTTTCTATGAATTAGAATGAAAGAAACATTTCTTTATTATTGTTATGGTTTTTCTCTTACTCCAGCTAAATGATAATATTTGCATGCTGAACGATGTGCTGAATTCGCCTTCAACCAAGCCAGACAATTTGGAATGGTATAAATTAAATTGAACGTTGATAAAAAGAAAAAAAAAACCAGCAGCAGCAAGCAAAACAATAATGTTTATTTTTTTAATATATCATGCGTAGATATATTAAGCAAAATATAATTGCATATTATTTCATTTTTTATGTTTATGAGAGAAAAGTATTTCCATTTATTATAGATTTAATTTTATTATATTTCTTTTTTTTTGTGCAAATCAATCAAATTGTAAAACAAGTTTTCAATTTCTATTAACAATAATTGCAAGGACAACCTAAATAAAAAACGTATTTTCTAAAATGAAATAAAAATCCTCATCCCTTCTTTTTGCTCTCAACTCGACGCATTGCATCGGTACCATCAACATTACTCGCATATTAATCCTAAACTCTTTCCACATCTATATGCTCAATCAACGTCGAGAAAACCAAGATTCAAATATTTGCAATAATCCGGCTTGCTCATACAATTGCAACCCACCGATGGATCGCAATCTACTCCTCCAATCCGGCTGTTTCTCTAACAACACTATATCCCTACTCGATATTTAAAGAGGTGCAGTTAACATTTTATGTAATTTAGATCCAAAAAACTTAATTCCTGCCAAATCTACCGTTAGTCAGCTTATTCAAAACCTTCAAAATAATGTTTCTCGACTATGTTTTAACGGATCGTTGCACCAAATAATTACCACAAACAATGAAAATAGCACAACTAAATTGTACTAGTTTCTGTAATAAAATAAAGCAAATTGAGCAACGTCTTTACAATAACGGAATCTCCGTGGCATATCTGCCCGAAACATTCCTCAAGCCTCAAGACAGATTTTTGTTCAAATAGATCTGGCCGCAGTTCTGAATTTACGATATTTCCACCGACTTGTTGCCAGCGACCACTGCTACTTTTTTAGCGGAAATCATGTATTCTAACATCTCGAGCACTTGCATATTCTAAATCCTTGTAGGTTTCCTCTTTCAATAAAGATACTGGTGATCTTGAAATACATTAATTAATTATTCAAAAATACCTTTAAAAACAACAAATAAGCGTTAGAAACAATGAAAAACTGACCCAATATTAGTTTTCCTAATCTAAATTTTCTAAATCTAAATAAAGCGATATACGATATTTGCAAATCGTATTTGGCTAGCTTTTTTGAGGCTATCATTGATATTCCAAAATAGGGATATTCGCGCTGATGTAAAATTCACATACTGCGATTTGCAGTACGTAGGTCTTTGTTTTATAAACATATTATAAACTGTAAAGGCATCATGTTACATATAATCGGGACCAAAAGTTCGAACAGGCAAATGTGAAAAATGATTCCACTGAAATAGCATGAATTACTTACCTCAAGTGGGGAGTCTCTATTTCCTTCCTCCAGGGCGTTGGAAATGTTTAAAAAACAAGAAATGTATTTAATTCTTTGCACCATTTTTAACATATCTTGACATCTCTGTTTATGTGTTACGCGCAACTCTGCATTTGTTGATTTTACAGCTGTACGGTATAAAACATAAGTATTTTTCATGCGTTTATACGAAAAATTTTTGTTTACTTCGTTATAAATTAAAATAAATAAAAAATCATCGTTAAAATGGATATGATTTTGGCGAATGTAAATCATATTTTCTTTAAAGTAGAAAGGGATTTGTCAGAGCAAGTAGGAGCCATCCCGTTGCCGTTTTTTGGCATGGACAGTAAGTTTTGCTCCGCAAGAAGTTTTAACAAAATATATATTTACGTTTATACCACTTTTTTTCTCTGTAGAATCTGTCGCGGCTGTGTGTCAGTTTCTCAATTCAAAAAACGGCATTGAATGTACTAATGGGGCCATGTGTCCTTTCCGCCATATACGTGGTGATCGGACTATCGTATGTAAACATTGGCTGCGCGGTCTTTGCAAAAAAGGAGACCAGTGCGAATTTCTCCATGAGTTTGACATGAAGAAGATGCCTGAGTGCTATTTCTACTCTAGATTCAATGCCTGCCATAATAAGGAATGTCCTTTCCTACATATAGATCCCGAAAGCAAAATCAAAGACTGTCCCTGGTACGATCGAGGCTTTTGTCGTCATGGTCCACATTGCCGACACCGTCACGTTAGGCGCGTACTTTGTATGAATTATTTATCCGGTTTTTGCCCTAGCGGGTGGAATTGCAAGCATATGCACCCGCGCTTTGAATTGCCACCCAGCTCAGATCTCAGTAAAGACCAGTTTCAAAAGAAAATTCCTACATGTCATTTTTGCGGAGAATTTGGGCATAAAGCTTCAGTTTGCAAAAAGAATACAGAAAACAATTTAGAACAGATTAAGCCATCGGGACATGGCAGGCATTATCCGCCAAATTCCTATGCTAACCATCATAATAGTTCAGTACATCAAAATAGCAAGAACAATAGCATCAGCAGTGAAGGACAAGAAAGCACCAATGATGATAACTCTGACCCGTCTCCAAATAACAGTTCAACAAGTAATGGTCCTCCTTATAACAAAGCCGTTAAACCTCTGGAGGAAATAACATGCTATAAATGCGGCCACAAAGGCCACTACGCCAACAAATGTCCAAAAGGCCATTTAGCGTTTCTCTCAAACCAACGCAGTCACAAATGATACTCCCCCGATATATAAATCAATTTCGTTGTTTATATATATATATATAAACATAATATAATTATATTAAAATTTCTTGATTTTTCTGTTGGTAGTTTATTAATCGATTTCTTCTTATTTTGACATCACTATTTCAAAGTTAACCCTGCAAATGGAAGAAGAAGACGACAACTCTTTTTTTTCAGATTTTTCCTAAGGAAGATTAATAACAGTTTAGAAACACCACGTCTCTATAAATATAATAATGTATCTGATTGTTTTTCATTTTTTTAATCTTATTCGGAACTCTTTTAGACGTCTTTAGAACGACAGTAGTCGAATATTACTGCATTAAGTAAAGAGGACTTAATCATTGACAGATTTGTTTAACAACAAGTGCAACAAATAAAAATCAATATAGATCTGAAGGACGCTATGAATATTCCTAGAGGCACGTTAGCAAGAGCTATATATGCAAAGTTTCATAATGATTATTATTTAGACAAGTACGACACTCGTTTGGTAAGTTTTCTACGCGAAAGGAGAGAGATACCCAGCAGTTTACAATACTGCTTCGTTTTCGTTCTAGTGGTATAGCATAAATAAGGAACATCAGTTCTCCTATCATTCTACATTTGTTCATTTAGTTGAGCCAGATGGAAATACTCTTAAATGGTTAGAAAAGGCTAAAGATAGTTCTACGAATATATGGATGCATTTGTGGCACGCTTTTGCACGTATAGCGTTGCAATTTTTTATGACGCAAACGGATATAAATGGCTTCCTTAAACGTGGCTCAATGTTTATATTATCTGAACAACAGTTTGCGATAATGCTAAGTCGCGGCGGCTTTGACAGTCTGCAATATCAAAGGGTTTGATTACATTTGATATAAAACTTAATAACAAATAGCTTGTTGATGCTCAAAACTATTCAATTTGCAGTTAAGTTTCCTCGACATAGGCGCTGGAGATGGAGAAATATCGGCAATATTACTAAAGGCTTTACGAAATATAAATCCTGAGGTTATAGTGGACGCCTTTGCCACTGAAGCTAGTTGGACGATGAGGGAACGTCTGAAAAAACGTAATTTTCATGTTTTGGAAAACCTTGACCACTTGCAAAATGTGCACTTAATTTCGTGCTTGAACGTTCTCGATCGTTGTATAGATCCAATTCAATTGTTAGAGGATATATACCGAATATTATCGCCGAGTGGACGCGTTATTATAGCTTTGGTACTGCCATATATGCACTATGTGGAATGCAATTCTTCACACCAACCTCTGCGTCCGCTAATGAATCATTGGCCGGAGAAAGCCAAAAATTATTCATTTGAGTCTGAAGCAGCTATATTTTTCAAAGTATTAGAAAATCTAGGCTTCAAAATTGAGGCTTGGACGAAAGCTCCATATTTATGCGAGGGTGATTTAAGACAATCGTATTATTGGCTTATAGATTTGGTAGTTATTGCGTCGAAGGTGTTATAGCTATATTCCAGTGTTGCTTTGAGTTATACTTAAATTACCTGTTTAAAAATTGCATTTAAATGTTACTTAACGTTCTTAAATGAAATGTGAGCGAATAATCCTAATGCCCGCGTAACGCTTTGCTAAACTATAAGCTAAAGATAGAAAAAAACTTAAAACTATTGCATTTTTGCCATATTCTAAGAATTTACGAAGGATTATCAATGTAAAGCAAACGAACTTAAAGGAGAGATTAATTATTTTTATGGGATTTAAATCTCGAGATTATTTATTTAATCTTCAATTTTCACCTTTTTTTTACAAATACAAAACTACACAATTAAAACGTGTGAAGACTAATTTGAATGAAATTATTGTCCAATTTTATTAATTTGAAAAAAGTAAACGGAAAGATCTCGTTTGTATTCTATAAAAAGAGATTTATCGGAAATTGTTTATTAATTACCAGATTGTAAAATTTCATGAAATAGTTACCACACGATTGAAATGCGGGAATGCTTGAAACGGAAATCGTCAAATTTGACAACTATTGAAGTCTTTTTGTTGTCGGGTTTTCAAGAGGTGTGTATCTTCTTCTGTGCACATGTTGCAAATTTTCTGTAAATTTTATTAATTTCAAGCTTGTAAAATTATAGGTTAACACAATGCCACCAAAATTCGATCCTACCGAAGTGAAATTAGGTAAATTTTTTGCCAATTTGTGTGTGTTCACTCAAATAAAGACAAGAAGTGATAATTTAAAAGCTTACTTTCTTTTTCTAATACTACAGTATATTTGCGATGTGTTGGAGGTGAAGTTGGTGCCACTTCCTCATTGGCTCCAAAGATTGGTCCGTTGGGTTTGGTAAATTTATCAGTACTTGTGTGAATAATCAACTAAACTAAAAAATGTGTTTTTATATAGTCCCCTAAAAAGGTTGGTGACGATATTGCTAAAGCGACTTCTGATTGGAAAGGACTTAAAATCACTGTTTGTTTGACGATACAAAACAGACAAGCCAGCATATCGGTAGTACCCTCAGCTGCTTCCTTAATCATAAAGGCTTTGAAAGAACCGCCGCGTGATAGAAAAAAGCAGAAAAACAGTAAGTAGTATCAAAGGTGAAAAAAATTGGTTCAAAATTCATTTCGATTTTATTTAGTTAAACATTCGGGTAATATAACATTCGATGACATTCTGTATATTGCGCGCATCATGAGACCCAGATCGATGGCTCGCAAACTTGAAGGCACATGCAGGGAAATTCTGGGAACCGCTCAAAGTGTGGGATGCACTGTGGACGGACGCCCGCCCCATGATATCATTGAAGATATCAGTAGTGGAGCCATTGAGGTTCCAGCTGAATAAATCACACACACTATATTGTAATTTGTAATAGACATTATAGTAAAGATTTATTATTTTAAGACTTCGTTCTTTTACTCAATATCAATAATTCCTTGGGTTGTGAATGGACAATTATTCTGCGCATTCATTTCATTTTTTTGTTAACAAACTGTCAAATCGTTTTATTGATATATATATATATATATATATAAACTTTAAATTTTAGTATTAAACATTTCCGTCCTTCTTTCCTTTTCAACAACGAAAGAGAATTATTGTAAGGCCTTTCAAAAAGTGATTTAAAAAAACTTATTTTATGGACCTCATTGTTATTGGCGTTGTGCTGCAGTGCGGAAATCGCGTTAAGTAACGTTGCAAGCGCAAAAACTTAATGGAGACAAGATGATTATCAAACCACCATCCGTTAATTTCGTTATGCACAATACCCGCGTCGTATTCGCTAGCGCAGCGTATATAAACACAACAACTTTGGCGATCTAATTGTATATCGTATATCTTACATTGCGGGCCCACTTTTTCTAATATTGATTCAATTATATTTTGTTGCAAATCAGGCTGGTTGGCTTCAGCGGCATGAAACATATGACGCACTTTAAGACAAGGTGTAGGCGGCTCAAAATTATTATTAACATTATCAAATGCAGGACTCTGCCATTGTTTTTTCCTCAAGCGTTCTTCAGCAGAACCATGCATCGGCAAAGGCGAATTGGTCATAGGTGTCAATAACGGTTCCGCCCATTTCATTGTGCGAAATTCTTCGCCGTTTCGCAAGACAACACCGAATTGTACGCGGGAATCATTTGCTTCTAGTTTACGTAGGGCCTCGTCCCAAGCTGACAATAGTGAACGTCTTTTGTTTAACGGTATCAATTTGTCGCGCAAGTGATATACAATTACTTCGCCACCCGACTCATCGTTTAGTGAAGCCCGATACATTAATTCCTTGACAATGTCTTTGATAAGGTTATCAATTGTAAGTATGCGGCTTTGATATTTTTGCCTCAAGTAACTTATGATCGCATGGCATAGAAATATCAGTATCACCGCTAAAAATATCGTACCGATTATGACGAAAAACCTATGCATTTTATTTAGGAAAATGCACTTTAATGGTAAGTACGGCTTCAACAATCCAAAACGTACATCTTGTTTATAGATATCGAATAATGCTCCATTCTCGGACTTATTGAAGATAGCAATTTTCCATTGTGGATTCTTTTCGATTAGGTAAACGGCGGCATGAAAACAGCGTAGAAGTTTGTGAGCATCTGTTGAACGTCTTTTATAAAGATGTTTCATGAAATCTGTCCCGCTTACTTCGGGACTAACGGAACGATCTTTGCAAAAGTGCGTCTCGGTTTTAGTCTGCAATAATTGCATGAGTTCGCGGTTAAGTGCTATAGAATTGGCTAATAAGTCGTTATCTATGCAATTTATGGAAGGCTTAGCTATGGCAGATAACTCTTTGAGTTCATTACATGTGGTGAAGGTTGTACTCTTCTCAAGCATTGTGCTAGGTATATCCGGAGGCTTAGTCATATATAAGAAGGCCAACACAGCAAAGAACAAACCGAAAGAGGTCACCAACACGTATGGCACAGATAATTGTTTAAATTTACGCTTAAGATTGAACAAAGAAAATATATTTTTTGTTAAGGGACGATTGTGAGTACGTTTAGTTATTGTTGCGTATCTGCCGAAGTTATTACTGTCCGAGTCTGAATCAGAGAGATATAAATTGCTTGTTGAATACGCGGAGCTAGACGCTATAGGAGACGTTGATCCACGTCTAATCGTAATATCTCTGAGTTTAAGTAAACGGCTTACAACGCTTGGCGACTCTAACCCGTTCTTAAATTGCCGGTCACTCTCATGAGAAATTGGCGAAGACGTTTTCAGCATATGCGGGCTATCTGTTTGAACGTCTGGCGCTATGATGGGGGGTGGTACATAAATTCTCGGTGAACTCTTCTTGCCAGATTCGTAATTATGAGACGGTTGCGACAAGTTTCCAAATTGTGGTTCGTAATTCTTGCCAAGATAAGAATTTGCTCCATTTAAAGAATAAAAATTACGTGACATGGAAGGTGTAGAACTGTTGAAGGCATAAACAGGGGAATCCAAGTGAGACGCATTTTGTGGTTGTATTCTTGCGGGAGAGGTGGTAGCAGTAGACCTCCTGGCCGGTGACCGAGTTCGCCTTTTTCTATCACCATCGATTGGCGTGACTGGTGATGGCAGGAGCGTCTCGAAGCGCCTGCGTTTCCTTTCAAGTGACTCATTCAACAAATGATTTTTAAGCTTTTTAAGGAGCAGATTTCGCGTCGTCTCAGTTATGGGTATATTTGGTAAACCGTGTCTTCGTAATTCATCGCGTAACTCAGCATCCGATAGTTGATTATAATACTCCTCATTCATAATAAAGGCAACCAACTGGCAAGCTAGACAATTTTAGAAAATTCTCCAATTCTCCGAATCCGATCAACCGACAAAATGTTGCAACTGTAATATCAAACATGGCATTATCTTAAATTGCACTCATTTTTAAGTTTCATTCACAAAATCACCTTTTGCCAAAATTTCTGTTAAATATATTAGTTGATTTTTTTAGCACAATGATTAATTAGACAATATCAGGCACAACACAAAATTTTACACAATATTGACTTGAGATGTCAGCGTTGGTTTATTTGGGTCATAATTCGTACTTGAGAATAATTCTTCGAATTTGAGCATGCGATAAAGACTACGAAATTTTGCTGCTATAACACATTTTCATCGTAGAAAAATTAACTATTCATCCAGATTAAAGTAAGATCAAAAAATTTGTTTTGAAACCTTGGGTCTGTCTACAAAAATTCATTTGTAATGCAATTAGCCCTTTGAAAGCAACTAAGCAATGCAAAGTCGAACTGTAGGGTAACCGCAACTGCTCCATCTTTAATTGCAACTGCGGAAAAAGCATTTGTTTATCTTAATCAAGATGAAGGTTATTTGATAAAAATTATTCAACCACAAAATAACAAAAATATATTTTTTTAATTTAGACTCGATAAGATTAGAATGGGCGGCAAAGCAAAGAATTTGACAGAAGAGGCGAAATTGGCGTTCGAAAAAATTGAGAAAATGATAGAACAACGATGACCTCAAGCATATTCAAGAAACAGTTACAACTTAACAGACAGGTTGCGGCCAACTAAGGAAGTTTATTCAAAGACGTATATATCCAAGTAGTGATTAGAAAAGTAGACTGAAAAGCTTAATTGTTTTAGCTCCAATACTTTCAGTTGATGGCACATTAGCATTGTAATTTGATTTTCCATTGAAGGCATTACAGGCAAAAAACCATTTGCGTTGCATTTTACCCGTATTTTGAGCCTGTAGGCATTTTAGATAGAAATAAAAATGTATGCACTATCGCTTCTAATAAACGCAACTGGTTGGAACCATATTTGTTTTTAGAACTATACAACTATGACTGTTTTTATTTTAGTTTTTAATAAATTAAAAATTATAGCAGAAAACAGCATAATAAACAAATGATTTGTAATTATATTAGAAGTCTAACAATATAATTATTTAAGCACTAATCAGTATGATGAACGATCGAAGATTTTATAACAGATGTTTTTTTTTAAGTTGGCTCTTACGGTCAGTATTTTGAGAGGAACAATTCAATTTTGATGGGACTGCCATTGCAGTAGGTTCTACTAACCCTGATTGATCAACGGCTTCACGTGATTCATCCGGCATTACTCTATCAACGACATGTTTATATATCAGACCGTTTTCACCTAAATAACATATGGAAAAGCCGTCGTACCATGCTTCCTGGTTATCGAAAACACCTTTTATATCCCATAATCTATATTTCCAAAAATTGAACATCACTTTTAGGCCAGAAATGCCTCGTACACGCCATCGTATCTTAATAGTGTAGTTGTCAAGATGTTTGGTGATTCTCAAAATCTCGAACCGCACGTAAGCATATTTCAAATGGCCCACTGTGCGTAACAAAGCAATCTGCTTCACATAATGATAGAGGCCTACAGTGTGTTTTCCCGTAATGTTGTTTTGAAATTCCAAATTTGGACTGTAGATGGAATAATCCAATGGTTGAATGAAAAGTCTGGGCAACGTTTCAGCTAAAACATTAAATACATGATCTAAGTCGGCAGGTGTAGGTGCTCGTGATTCTTCGCCACTTTTTTCCGATTTGTCATTATGCAGCGATCGTATATTTATGTGATGTTGTGCTGCATAAAGGATACGAGAGGTAGGACGAGTTGACTCATAGCTCGCCGGCAGTTTGATTATTTTCTTATTTATTTCATTCGGAGAGATGACCGTAGAAATAGCTACCTTTTCAAAACGACAGACGTGCTCCTTAAGCCTGAGGGGATAGTGACGAAACAGCGTATTCGATGAATACATTAAAACAAATTTGTATTTATTTTATGCTTCTACCCAAAATCTTTAGAAAAAAAATTTGTTAAATAATTTTTTTCTTCTTTCAAAGCAACAACAACAACAACGAAAGTGTGCAACATTCGTAGTAAAAGGTGGCCATGTTCCACAAAGCAACTTCAACAGCTGAGAAAAACGTAGCCACCAGATTTTTGTTTTTTGTTCTTTTCGCTAAATTTTGAATTTGCTTGCAAAAATATATTCGACCGCTGAAGTTCATCATATAACATAAATTTTGTGTTCTATGGGGAAAACATTTGTAGAAATTATCGTTAATCTACTTATTAATAATCTATTATCCACTTTTAGAAACATGGCAAAGTAATTAAGCAATCGAATGTTAAAATTGGCAATATTTTCACATTCTCCAAGGACAAAAGATATTGAAATGAAAAAAGTTCTGATCGTAATTATATATATAATTTGTGTTATTCTCATGACTGCGTTCAAGTGGCAATCTTTGCCTTTCATTCCACGAACTAAATGAAGTTTTATAAACATTCTCCCAAGAGATAAATACGTCATTACTTATTTAGAACTGAACTGAAAATTTATATATAAAAAGAAGAGAAGAGATGATGGGGGGATAAGTGAGACAATTTGAATTAATTAGAGAATTAAGAAGATCAATAACAGAAAAAATTGAAAAAATGTTGAAGTAAAATAAATAAATGGATATTTCTTACATTTTCAAATTTTCATTTTTCGTAACGCCATTGTCTCTCAAAATTACCAGAAACAAGTGTACATGTCTCTCAAAATTATCAGAAACAAGTACATTTTTTACATGAAGAATTTAAACAACAAGCAACAACAATAATATGTCGATATTGAAAAAACTATGTTGCGCAGTATATCGTTGACGCAAATATATATAATGGCTATTATAAATAATGCCACTTTAAACCCCTTTGTTTCAATACAGAGTGGTGATGGCTGATGATCAGCCAGAATTGAATTCGTTGTCTATTCAAATCTAGCAAAAAACATTTTTTCGCATAAATATTCTAGTGTTCAGCTGGGTATCTCTCCGAACTTCTGAACGATTTTGCTTGTTTTCTGTAATGTCCTTTCATCCATGAACGCACACTATCACATTGAACTATGTTACTCTTTTCGTCATAAAAACGTTTGTTTCACAAGTTTGCGTTCAATTTTTATATTTAAAAGTCCGAGCAGATATACCATTTCAAGAATGCATCGGAAAAAGTATATAAGATAACAAGTTCACTTTTTTTTTTATTATGGATTGAATATTACGTCTTTTCGATTTTTTTATTTTAATTTTGACAAATTTAAATACATGAACGTAGATAAGAACAGGATCTTAGCCCTTCACTGAGATGGTGGGCATCTTCCGTGATATACATATTGTAGACCATCTAACGTATATGAAGGACTTAGAACAAAGCAGCTTGTGGTATCCACATCTAACTTAAAAACTTCCAGTGCACTAGCAATATAGAGAATATTTGATCCACAAGTAATTCAAAAAACGGTAGCGAACTTTCTTTTTGCATAGAAAAAAAACTCGCCTTGGTGGACGGGTGTGCTAAGGATATCGACTAATAATTTAGTGGCCGAGGATTCAAATACCAAGTACGGTTGAGTATTCAATAAAGCTACAATCGCTACTATTACCTTGTTTATTGTTTATTTTATATATACATGAAAAACAATAATATAACTCACTCACTAAAAGTTACATAATTCTGTTGAAAAGATCACTTTTAAATTGTAGGCTAGACATGTGCTAACAGTAAAATATTAAATTGTTTTTTGAGTCTCGTCAAAATCCAATTTGCTTAATAGATTCTGACTACCGTTGAGTTCGTCCAGTTCAGGATCAGCATACTCCAATATATTAAAGTCGTCACCTATTTCGGCGGTTAACGACTTTAAAATCTCATCGTCATCGCCTTCACCGAATCCACCTAAAATATCTCCTAAACCGGCATTTTCATCCGATTCCATTTTATCTATTCCGCCACTTGGGTCTTTGGCTTCTGATATTTTTGGCATGGCTGACCAATTTTTGTCGGCAATGAAGATGTCACTACGTTCCGCTAATTGTAGGCCCCCTTCGGGCTTACTATTATCCATGGCCTTCGCAAAATTCTCTAAACTGGAGTCCTGAGTTTGGGTAACATTTTGAATTAACGTGTTCACGAATTGCGTTTGATGATCGAGTTGCGACATGGTCTTATTTGAATCAGCGCCAGTATGTAAAACTTGATGATTCGATTGCTGAGTTAAGGTACTGCCACTGCCACCATGCATTGTCGATTCGTCGTTTGACATTAACGTCTCTGTAAGCTTTTGAGTATTATTCGTCAGTATATTCATATCGAATAACGCTTGCTCTTGCTTGTTTACTAATGGCGTAGTTAACTCAGATCGTGAATAATCCCCTATAAAGGCTTTAAAAAACGAATGTTAAATAAATAATTGTGCACGTTATTCAGTTATTACAATATCAAAATATTTATACCGTTTTTGGCAAACTTATTAGTATACGTTTCTTTTGATTTCGCTTGATGCTGTTTCCAGGCTCTCTCTTGTTCCTGTTCCTTAAGACTTTTCTGCTGAAAGTACACCTTTTCAGGTTCCTGTATAGAGTAAAAATTAAGTTAACTGTGTATTTCACCTTTACTTAGCATACCTGTTGCGATCTACGCAAACGTAAAACAGAGCGGTTGTCTTTGGCATGTTGTAAAAAAGGTGCTTTCATTTCTGTGGATAGCGAGCGCCATATTTTCAAGATTTGTTTACAACGTTCATTCCAATTCGGGTACATGTGCTTTAGCTCAGGGTGTTGGGTATTAGCATAAAGGACCGCAGATATTGTAGCCATTTCTCCCAAATCTTTAAACAAAACAGTTGAGATAAACTTGGAAAATTGTCGTTTCGAAGTTTACCTTCATCTTTGCGCATTTTTTCTGCTGTTTTCTGCGTGCCCGCTGCTACGGTCTCTTTAACTGGCTCCTCTGGCACTATCGGCATCGGTAATTCTGCTGCATCAGCCGAAACTAAACGCTCAGTAGGGGCCAACGACTGGGATAGCATTACATCTCTTTCAACTTTGATTTGATTTAACATGGGATCTTCAGATTTTTGGGTTAAGAATTGATGATGGTTTGGTTGATTATTCGTTATAGCCATCTGATTGTTATATGAAGTCTGATATTGCAAGCGTTGCTGTTGTTGTTGTTGTTGTTGCTGCT